CAGAAATACATGGAAAAATARATTTTTATGCTAGAAATTGCCATTTTCGGTTGTCCCAGCCACAGGACGAGGAGCAATGKTCATAAACTAAAACACAAGAAGTTGTACCTTAACATGAGAAAGAACATCTTTACATTGAGGATAAAGAGCCCTGGAGCAGCTGCCAGTGGAGGTGCTGAAGTCTTCTTTGTGGAGACATTCCAGACSCGCGTGAGCACATTATCCACTGTAGGTCACCCTGCCTTGGCAGGGGGTTGTACTGGACGATCTCCGGAGGTTCCTTCCACTCCTCATTGCTCTGTGATTCTTATAGTTTCACACTTAGTATGTTTGTCAGTGAGATGCTGAAGTGCACAGGGAAATAYTAGTTTAAAAATAAATATGTATTTAGCAGAGACAAGACTGTAAATCGGCTTAAAATTCTCATTATGCTACTTAAAGGTCTTTAAAGCTTAATCATAAATTAAATTTTCCWTGTAACTTATTTTAGGAAATGAGCTTTAAATAGGAAGTGGTTTCTGTACTTTTTCTTTCAAGTTGCTTTTAATTAGAGAAGTGGGGAGAGTAGGGCTGTACATTTCCATTGCCTTTTCAGCAGTATAATTGCACTTTTTGCTATATTTTTTTCTCTTGAGAAAATATAGTTTCTTCTGATTAGAAAAGGTGTCTATTAAATATGTACTAGTTAAGAGTTCCAGAGGATGTGTGTTTCCATGTAAATAGATCCTTAAAATGGAAAATTTTGCTCTTTTGAAAAAGCCAGAGCAGTTCTATGGAAGTTATAGGAGAATYATAGAATCACAGAAAGGTTTGGATTGAAAGGTGCCATGGTCAAGGACACCTTCCACTATCCCAGGTTGCTCAGAGCCCCATCCAACCTGGCCTTGAATACTCCAGGGATCCAGGGGCAGCCACAGCTTCTGTGGGCAACCTGTGCAAGGGCCTTCCCCCCCCCCCCCCCCGCAGGGAAGAATTTCTTTCTGAAAGCCAATCCAAACCTCCTCTCTGTCAGTGTGAAGCTATTTCCTCTTGTTCTATCACTCCAGGCCCTTGTCAGTAGTCTATTTCCTGCAAGCCTCTCTAAAACTTGCATATTTCTAGGATGTCATGTGTAAATTGCACAGTCATTTTCTGGTATGTTTTGTTTTTTTCACCGTGCATAATTTCTTTCTGCTTTCGATGTMTGTTTCTTTCAGGAAGAAAATGAAAATATTTTCTGAGTCTCACAAAACTGTTTTCGTTGTGGATCACTGCCCCTACATGGCAGAATCATGCAGGCAACATGTGGAATTCGATATGTTAGTGAAGAACCGCACCCAGGGAATTATTCCTCTGGCACCCATCTCCAAGTCCCTGTGGACCTGCTCAGTGGAATCATCCATGGAATACTGTAGAATAATGTATGATATTTTCCCTTTCAAAAAACTGGTAAGTTCTGCCCGCCATGTTGCATATCGTGCTTGATACAATAAGGGATGTTTTCATGTTTTATTTAAGTATTTTCACATCTTTAGGTGTTGGTTAGAGTAAAATATCAGATATAATTTATCACTTAAAAATTGTTTCTGCTGTTCATATACTTTATAGTGCTTTAAATTGSATTCTAATTTGCTGTAGAGAATGAATTTGTGGCTTAAAAGTAGAAGTTATTAATCATATTGCTAAAGGGAAGAGTGAATATAGCACGAGTGTGTGTGATTTTTGTGGGTTTGTTATTTTGATTTTGGCTTGTCATTTCATGTATCTCCAGACTATCAGGAGAAAGAAGTGCAATTCATGTTTGTTTGGATTTGGACAAGTAACATTATAATGGCTGTTATCTTGATGTGCTTTTTTGTTCCTTTCAGGTGAATTTCATTGTGAGTGATTCTGGTGCTCATGTGTTGAATTCCTGGACTCAAGAAGATCAGAACTTGCAGGAGGTATGATTTATACCTCTTATTTTGCTTTGTAGTTCTGACYTCATTGTGAAATAAATGTTGTGTTCAGTATAAAGTAACTCTGGCTTAYTAGAATACGGGTGGATCTGGTCTGAAATTGTTATATAACTGAGTTTCAGGTAGCTGCCTGTGAGCTTGGGTTATTCTATAGAAAAAGTTTTAAAAGAATATTATGTCTTTAAAAATAGACTGAAATATTAAAATAAATGTTATGAAGAAAATAGTTATGTATTTCTTCTGTAATTGGGTGCTACTTCTAGATTTCAWTTTTTTTTAAACATCTGCATGAGAGACAATCTGTGTTAAATACATTAATTGTAAATATCCTCTTTGCTGTCACATTGTTTCATGTTGAAAGGGCTCATCCTCTGAAAAACTTACTTTAAGGAGGAGCTGCATGTCCAAGTTCTTAGAAAATAAAAGCAGAAGGCAACTAACAGTATTAGAATATCTTTCAGGTATTAGATATAAGTTGTTATTTTAGTCAGGTATTTGTCTGCAATAAATGAGAATATTATATTCTTAAGGTGTAACAAAAGTGAATAAATTTGAATTGCAAAGGATAATTTAGGGCCAAATGTTTTCCAGAAGGCTGCYAACATAATGCTGGGTAATTGTTCCATTTGCTTTTCTCTCAGTAATRTTGAATTGCATGTCAAGTGTGTTACAATGCTGACTTCTCACTGATGTTTTAAAACCGTGTGGGAGGTACCTTTCAGTTACAGTCCCTTTGTTCCCGCACAGCTGATGGCAGCGCTGGCTGCGGTGGGGCCGCCGAACCCGCGGGCAGACCCCGAGTGTTGCAGCATCCTGCACGGGCTGGTGGCGGCCGTGGAGGCACTCTGCAAGATCACCGAGTACCAGCACGAGGCTCGCACCACGCTCATGGAGAACGCTGAGCGCGTGGGCAACAGGGGCAGGATCATCTGCATCACCAACGCCAAGAGGTGTGTGCATGTCTGTGTGTGTGTGTGTGTGTGTGTGTGCTTGTGGCTCCTGCCCCTACACAAAGCCATTCCTGACATTCCCACAAGGGTTGCACTGGTGGGAATCAGCACATGGATCAGGTGGCTTCTGTGCAGAGGTCTTTGTGACAGCACTTCCCTCCTTTGTGACAGCACTTCTCTCCTTTTCAAGAGTTTTGTTTAGGGGGGTCTGACAGCAAAAGCGAAACATTTTTACGATTTCTTGCAATAGAAGAACATTCAGTGGCTTTGAACAGGAGGATTGATGATCCAGCCTTAAAAAAAATCCA